CCCTGTGCAGGGATGCAGTGTGGGCCAAGCAGCCTGAGCGGCTCTGGCTTCCGTGACCCCTGACCCTGTGCAGGGATGCAGTGTGGGCCAAGCAGGCTGAGCAGCTTTGGCTTCCATGACCACTATCTGATGGGCAATTCCTGGCTCCTTCTGAGGAGATGTTATACATTTTTAACCTCCATAGAATAAATGATCTGGACAGCACCACACTAAAGGTTTGAGTGATCACTTTTTACTTAGCAAGAGCTCCTGCCATATAGATTTTTCCACCAATGGCCTAATCTAGTTAGTGTCACTGGCCATTAAAATTTTGGATTCTGGCTCAGAGTCTTTAGAATGAACATCCTCATTTAGTCAAAAGCAATCAACCTTTCCAAGCAAATTCCTATGCCATCTAACCTATCAACACTGCAACCCTTTTCATCTTCCTTGGCGATGACTCCAGCACAAAATCCAGGTGGCAGCTATGCACACACATGACCTCTTCAGGTCTCACAATGTCCATCAGACACAATCCATGAATGTGCCTTACAGAGCGATATTGTGAGAATCCAGAAAATGTCAGCAAGTGCCCTGGACTTCTTTATTTTATTTTCTTTTTTAGTTATTTATTAGAACAAAATGATAAGAGACTGCCCCCCAACTCAGCCTGTGAATTGCCAATGATACTCAAAAGAAGCTACCGCCTGGTTTACTAAATGAGAAGATCGAATAAAAAAATAAAATAGAAATTCAAACAGTGAATACCAATCCAGCACTGTACAGACAGTTCCAGAGTAACTGATTTAAAGCCAAACTAGGGATTATAGCTACTTTTTCAGAGGAAGAAAAAGAACACATTTGGGGAGACAACCATGGGCTGAGACGCCATTTGTAATGTTTTGTTTTGAAATGAGGGGTAAGGACATAAGCGTTTGCTTCTTACTCTTAGTATCTTTTTGTATGATTGAAATATTTCATTTTTTCCTAAAATGATCCAAAAGCTTTTTTTCTTTGGTTTTGCATGTCTCATTTTAGAATACAAACTCCTAATGGAGACTAGGTGGCTCTTAGCACAGTGCGATTACTCAATATATAGAGACAAAGATTTATGTCAAGGTTATTTGCAATAATATTAATGAAATTATTAATAGAAATTAATTAATAACAATAATGTCAAGGCCAAATTTCAAAAATTGCTTGTTTGGGTCAATTTTTAGAAAATACTGCGATAAGCTTACTTTGGAGGAATCAATACACATTCCATTTCTTCTGTTACCCCAGTACTCAGACCCAGGAGAGAGGCTACTTGTCAGCAACAGTGGAATCTGTCTTAAAGCCCTGTATTTTTATGCTCTCCCTGCACTCATGATGATAGGCATAATCACCAAGTAGGCTTCGCTGCTTTAAAGACAGCATATTATTAGTTCCGCAGCAAGAAACATTTCTCATTTTGGAACATGTAGGGAAACTAAAAGACAGAGAACTATCAACAAAAATATAAACTTCAAAAGCATAAACATCTGGGGTACATAAAGCTTTTACTGCTAGGAATGAACATCAACCCTCTTCAAGGCCTAAGACGTAGCCTCTGTCCTAGGTAAGAGGCAGCACAGCACAGAGGCCAAGATTCTAGTTATGAGGACAGACCATCGGAGCTTGTATCCATCACTCATTAGCTGTGTGACTATGACTTTGCACAAGGTGCATAACCTCTCTGTGTCTCACTTTCCTCATCTGTAAAATGGGGATAACAACTACCAGCATCTCATGAGACTGATGGAGGATTAAATGAGTGCCCAGTACACAGTAATGGCAGCATGAAGTGATACAATGAATGTGCTACATTATGACCTTCTCAAATCACTATGTTTTTACTTTTCATTTACAGGGAATAGATGTTAATACAAAACAAGAGTGTCGGGGACATTGCCGCTGGCAGGCTACTGCCACTCATCTACTGACTCCCCCTCTAAACAGACCAGGGCCATGAGTAATGGGGTTGGTTTTATTTTTCTTACCACTTTAGCCAAGTAGCTGTCTGAATATTCCAGTTTTGTAAGTACATTTTGAAACTTGTAGCAGTCTAGAAAGAAAATAACACCTATCATTAGCTTTAAAAATACTCCAAGTAATGGAAAGTCCTCCCCAGAATTTCCCTGGTAGCAGATCAGATGCAGCATGTCAACAGTGACCGTTCCCAGTGAAAAGTAAACCAGCTGCTCCATCACACCGTAACACCGCCTGGTGCTCCTAAGCTTTACTTCACAACTAAAGCTTGCCTTGCAAAGTCTTCTTTGTCCTCAAAATTTATTTTCAAATTCTAGGAAAACCAAAGGACCATCTTCTGGGCTTCCTGTCACTCCGCTAAAAATTTAAAGTCATCCGAATTTGAAAACTAAATACTCTAAAAGAGGATTTACCACAGGAAAAATGTAATCATGTGAACTTCGTGCCTTTATGAGGACAGCTTAAGTTTAATTGTCGTCTTTTCGCTGGGTGGCCATCTACAAACTAGGTCAGTTGTGCAGTTAACTCTATAAATAGCTACCCAGGTTCTAACGCTTCCCATTGTGTCTGGGGTAGTAGGAGATTCTATGCGTGGAGGGATCATAATACAGAAAAGCAAACAAAGACATCTCCCCCGACTGGCAATGAGGCAAGCAAATCAACCCCTGAGGAAGATACACCTCAACGTCAACTGGGTTTTCTCATTTTTTTTTAAAAAAAGGTCTTATCAAAAGCTGGTGGTAAAAAGCATGAAACAAGCGTATGAGGACAAGAATTCCTAAAGAAGGCAGGAGGTCTAGGTGCCACTTTTTTTCTGTTGAAGTTTCTTCAAACATAAGAAAATCTTATGTAGGTCATGTATCGGCCAAATGTCACAGGCTTGCAAGGGAGGGAGAAAGGGTGGGGAGGTGGGAAGGAGAAGGAAGAGGGAGGCAGGACGATGAATGGTAGATAGACGGACGATAGACTAATTTCTTTATGGGGCGCTTTTATTTCAAAATCCTAAAGAGTACTCTTTATCCCATTTCTTCTATAGCTAATAAAATGCTATAAACTCGGCCTCGAGGTACCTTAACTAAAGCACGCTTCCTTGTTTTTCATTAGCTTCACGCCCTATATCCAAATCCAATAAAAATACAAACTTTCTCCTGAGTTTCTTTTATAATAAATACATACCTTAGTAACTTAGCCCTTTCCCCTGAACACACACCCACCCACAGGGAAAGGTGTCTGTTTTTTGGCGCATAGTGAGGCTGGACGAGTAGGCGCCCACCCAGGAGGACATTCACCTCCAGCACTCCACGGCAGCCAGAAGTGGCCCACGAGTTTGGAGGGAGAGAAGAATCTCAGTGGGAAAAGGAGCAAAGTCGTAACACACTCCGACTCTCCCCGACATCTACGCAGAAAAGCTTACAGATTATTTACACTTTTAAAAATAGAGGGAAAGGTCGTTCTGAAAGCTGGATATTGTCCCTTTCTGATTCATCACGAGGGGGCAACTGCTTCTTGTATCACCAGAGACAACTAACAGGACAAGCATTAACTGTTCATTCAGAATTGATGTTGGACCTTGGCCGTGGCCTAACCACACCTGCCAAGGCTTTCCACCAACAGGAGCCCCCAGATCTTCTAGAATATCCAAAAATGGGTGCTTTACTCAGTGTGGACCCTCAATTAAAATTAACATGTGTTGAATTTGACTGACCTGAGTAAGTAAATGATGTGACGAGCTTAAGTTGAAGGGAGGATGCAATTTAAATAGATAAAACAAATAATAGGTCCTAAGTGCTTCTACTTCTTTCTGCATATGTGCTTTGAAGCTGCAGTGCCTCAAGGGTAAAAGCAGAAGTGAAAATACAATCTTCCCTATGAACTGCACCATACCCTGTTCGGTGAAATGCCCATCACTTTCCCTCTGGCAGCATCCAGATATAAAATACCTTGGGCAAAAGGTGGAGGCTTTCTCTTTGGCTCCTTCTGGCCTAGTTTCCACCAAATGTGGGAGGCAGGGAGTCAGTCCCAGGTAGTCCTGGTTTCTTCCTCCACAAGCACAGCTCCCTCCGCCCCATCTCCCCAGTGGAGCACCTGTCTGCCCTGTGGCGTGTGGAAAACCCAAACCAACAGCAAACATGAGACACCTGGCAGGTCTTCTTCTTTTGTCTTTTTGAAACAGGGTCTCTGGCTCTGCTGCTCAGGCTACAGTGCAGTGGCGTCTTCATGGCTCACTACAACCTCAACATCCTGGGCTCATGCAATCCTCCTGCCTCAGCCTCCCAGATAGCCAGCACACGCAGCTATTTTTTTCTGTGTTTTGTAGAGAAGGGATTTCACTCTTGCTCAGGGTGGTCTTGAATGCCTGGCCTCAAGCAATCCTCCTGCCTCAGCCTCCCAAAGTACTAGGATTGCAACTAAGCCCAGTTGGAAACGACATTTCTATATGCTGAGAATAATGCCCTCCCTCCTGTTCAGTGGGGAGGGGGAAAGGGCCTGGGGTACGGTGCTCAAAGTAGTGAGCGTGCCAATATGCTCCGTGGTTCCTGCACCCATTTACCACTCTTTCACCCGAAGGCCGGCTCTATCAAGGAGAACTCAGTATCTGTCATAGGGAAAGACTTCATGGTAACTGTCATACAGAAGGAAGAACCTGATGAATTATTGGATTCAAGCATAGTGACTCACTTATTCAAAATAACCAAAAGCACCAGCTGTGTGATGACAGGAATGGCAGCTGACAGCAGACCCCAGGTACAGAGGGCACACTATGAGACAGCTAATTGGAAATACACGTAAGGCTATGAGATTCCTGTGGACGTGACATGCAAAAGCAGGGCTGACATCTCCCAGGCCTACACACAGAGTGCTGACAGGAGGCCTCTTGGTTGTTGTAGGATTTTAGTCAGTATAGATGAGGAACAAGGCCCTGAGGTGCACAAGTGTGGTCCTGCGGGCTACGCCTGTGGGTTTAAAGCCACTGCAAGCAGGAGTCAGACAAACTAATCAAGCAGCTTCCTTTAAAAAAAAAAAAAAAAAAGTGAAGAAAAAGTCAAACTGGACATTTGAACAGACACTGGAAACTGCAAACTGTCTACTGGTCTATCAATTGATTTCAAACCTTCAGAAATAGTAGTTACAGCTGAAAAATCCTAAATTCAGGATTCTTACAGAAGCAGAGACTGATGCTCACCTTGTTGATTTGACAGAGAGAATAAACACTGTGATTAGTTTACCAAATCCATGATGCCATCTGCCTGCGTGTTTGGCAACAACAAACCTCTCCCACGCCTCCTACCGCTGTATAAATAAAAACAATCCCTGTGGTGGGGGGAGAAAAGGAAAGGGTCTAATACTCGGCATTCCTGTCCACTCTGAGCACTAACAATATGAAGAAAACCAAGAAAAACATGGCCCCAAAGAGACCACCTCTGATAATGAAGATATCAAGAATTGTAGTCTAAGAACAAAGATAGGGAAGAGGAAAACGACTATTCTAGTGGCTTAAAAATTGTGCACCATGACAATTCTTCTTACAAAGGAACGGATCAGAAATGTTCCCAAAGGAACCAGAGAAGATGCTCGTAATACTAAATCTAAATACGGAGCTTCCCATCAGTGTTCTTGACTAAAGTAGGTAGAGTGTGAACAAGAGAAAATGACATTTGTGCTTTCCAGTTAAAAGAACAGGAATATAAACAACAAAAAGATTTCTGTGGTTCTGTTTTAGATTTTTTTGTATGTCACTCTTCCTTCAGCCCCTGAAACCGTCATCAAAGTAGGTATCTTTGAAAAGGGGGGTGGATTCTGAAATACAAATGCCCACAAGGCGGCTGGCCATGGCATTCCTCTGAGAACTGCTTTTCTTTGGACACTCTGATGAAGAATCTGGGGATAAAACACTCAAGGAAAACCATTTTCTTTATTCACTATGAAAGTCTGATGAAAAAGCCTAATACACTCACCTCAATTTTCCAGATGTTTAGGTTAGAAAGCAGATTCCAACAGAAATTTCCATCCTTATCCACTCCGCTGAACCCAAAGCCAGCTGCGTTATTCACTGCATCAGCTACGGTTTTGAAAACGACACATTAGGATGTAGAACAAAAACCACATAACCGCTGTAAAAGATACTACATATCCGTCTCACTTCAAGATGGAGAGAGATGCAGTAATTTACTTAGAAAAGGAACAAAAAATAATTTTTTTTACGGACCAGGTGCCACTTTGAATCAGAAAAATGTATCTGGCTATTTGGTGACCTCGATATTTATTCATTCATTCCCTGGCTCTTAAGGAGAACACCTGCTGGTAAGAGTAAAGGTGCTAGATGTTCACAAAATGGAAAAAAAAAAAAAGAGAGAGAGAGAAGTAAAAAAAAAAAAACACCAAAACAAGGAAGTAATCAGTAGGATTTAGTGACCAGCATGATAAGAGGAGAAAAGGGAAAGAAGGTAAAAGTGGATCTAAGCTCAGACGCAGAGAGCAGAAGAAAAGGGGGACTCAGTAGAGAAGTCCAAGCTGAGAGCCAGCATTACACCAGGAAGAGAACAGGCTGTGGAAGACAAACTGGAGCTCACTCTGGACATAGCCTACTGGCACGGCATGTTGGACATCAGTCCAAGCTGCCAAGATGCAATTGAGAAAAGTTCAGGTCCACAAAGAACAGAGACAGAACCATGAACTTAGGGCCAGCAAGCAGCAATAAAGACCACAAGTGGACACGATTACCAAAGCCCGCCTACTCAGCCAACACATCTAAAAGCTCCTGTTTTCATCTTTATTCCACTTCATTGAGCTGTAAGAAAATATCCCCCTGCAATGAATATTTTATCTCTACTCAGTCCTTCCGTGAAGTGTTTAGGTAGTCAAATGTAGACTCCATGAACTCAACACACTTTTATTATGATGATCAAGAAGCTAATTTTCTCTCTTCATTTATTTCACTTAGAAATAAAGATCTCCTAGTCTGGTAGGGTATCTTCTAAAAAAAACCAAACCTCAAACTAATCAAATTATAGCACTGTAATATGTTAGATCTAGAGATCTCAAAGAAATCTTTCCTTTTCGATATGAATTCAAGTTCAACTCACAATAGCCTGAAGAGCTACTCTAATGGAAAACAACCTGTCCTATGTCTGTCTTTCTTATTTTTGGCATTGGTGAAGATGCACTATTGCTTACTTTCTCTCCAGGACTCTAGACAACACTTTCCAGGCATTTCCCAGCTAATCTTCACAATAGTGTTAAGATGGTGATTACGAACGCTCTCACCACTTGATAGCACACTCCATACATGGTCTTGGGAGAGTTATCTAATTTCTAGAAACCTATCCCCTCAAGTATAAAATGGGTATAATAATGATGCATATCTTAAAGGGCTGTTGAAAGGATTAAGTGAATTCAAGTATGTGTATAGCTCAGTGCCCAGCCCAAGTCAGCACTCAAGAAATGTTAGTTGCTATTAATTATCTGGCTATTAAGGAGACGGAGGTCAGAGATGTTAGGTAAACATTAAGATCACGCAAGTTATAAACAACGCCAGGCTCTGAAGACTAGAATTCCTATTCTACAATCTGAGCTCTACTCTGAAAGACCAAAGGTGAAGGGCCGGAGTCATGGCTCCCAGAGATGAAGCCAGAACCCACTCTGCTTAAGGAGCCCACAGTTGTTTATACAAGCCTTGTTTTTGTCTCAGAGCAGTTAAGAGGTTCTGAGATCACCAGTCCAAAAGTGGCTTTTCTTACACTGTGCAGGACTCTAAGCTGTTATTACTGGTATATTAATTTAGACACCCATACGTTGGAATCTGTGGTCCTGGACTAAAGTTGAGCCTCACTAATTAGTATGTACTATTTAGCAGGGGGCAGATGGGAGAGGGGAGACAACCAGAATCGTAGGCTAAGTCCAAAAGAAATAGTTCTATGATCTCAAGATAAACAGTAACTAGAGCCAGGCTGACATGGTGCTGCTCAGCTGAGATTCATCAAGAGGCCGGCTTTAAGGATTAAATTTATAATCATGTATAATTAGTACATCAATTATCCGCAAACGACATTTTAAAGAGCTGGAGAAAACAATTACTCAGTTAAGCCATTTAAATATTCCCCGATACACTATTCATTGCATCTTCACTCTTAACTAAGACAAAGGTTAATTTTAGACCAGCCTGTGGAATCTAAGCTGTAAGAAACTTCAAACTGAGGACCATACAGATTCATAAAGTGATTGTACTGAAGCTACACAAAGAAGACCAAGAAAAGGAGACGGAGATGGGGGGCAAGAAAAAGAAAAAGAGCTGAGTCTGCAGAGAAAGCTCTGCCCAGAAAGGGCCACCTGTGTGCTATAGTCTGCGTGTCTGGGATGATCCCAAGGGGGTCACAGGTGTGCCTGCTCCCCAGAACCCCTGCCCACGTCCCTGCCAGCACAGTCCACTTTGCCTCAAAGTTTCCCTGTGAGGCCATGGGACGGCCTTCCTCTCCTCCTCAGGTCAGGAGCTGACAGAGTCCAGGAGTCAGCCTTCAAGCCCTGGGACTCAGAAAATGGGAGAGGGCAGGCAGGCAGATGTTGTGTTTTATACACTGTGTATATAGTTTACCGCAATAAGGAAACAGATAAATCATTTGGTACTTGACTTTGGAGCTTAAAACCTGAAGCATGAACTGACAGAAAAACTCAATTAAATGCTATTCCCTCATTCACAGGAATATGAGTTCGACACTAGGAACCGAGTTTTTTTTTTTTTTTCATGTCAGTAGATTTGGGAGATACAGGTGTTTCTGTCACACAATGAATCGTATCATGCTGAAGTCAGGGCTTTCGGTGGCCGCGTCACCAGAACAGCCGTACACTGAACCTCACGGGTAGGTGTTTAGCCCTCACCCGCCTCCTGCTCTTCCCTCTTCTTAGTTTTTAAGTCACAGCTCTCTGACATCAAGTACCAGGTCACTTGCAGCTAAAGTGTTAAACATCCATTCCTGAAACAGACGTGGCCCTCACGCCTCCGTAACACCCTCCCCCAGTCTCCACGGGGGTACAGAGGGGTTATCGCTCACTTTAGCAAAGCCTTGAACAACCCCAGTCTAAAACTATTTGGAAGAGAAGAGATAAAGGCTTAATACTGACCAAGTCACTGGAAAAAAAACAACTTGTGAGAAAACCAAATAAAGTTGAACCTTCTACCTCAATAAAAGAGAAATCACTTCAAGTCAGCTTCTTCCAAAGACCTAAAAATTAACCCATGGTTTCCTGAAGAAGTGTGACTTGAATTCACTAGTGCACATCTTGTCTTACCAAAAAAAAAAAAAAAAGCCAAACAGAAAAATCATAAGAAAACCAGATCATTCTGGAATGTTTCCCTAACTTTCACTGTACTAAATGGCCAAGTTTGGTGAGAGCAGAAGCTGCCAGGTTCTGACATCTGTGAATAACATTTGGCTTAAACAACAGCCAGGGTGCTTTTCTCCTCATCCTGGGTAGCTGAGTTTATGGAGGGGGAAAGAGAAGAGGGCTATGGTGGGAAGTAAAAACTGACCCCACCTAAACTGCCTCCTGTTATGTGTTTGGTTTTTGTGGTTTTTTTTTTTTTGGATTAGGTAGATTTCTCTTAGGTAGATTTTACAGCAACAAAGCAAGGGAAGGTCTTGTCACATATAAAACATTGTGCCCAGGCTGGGCGCCCGTAACATAGTGGTTATAGCGCCCAGACCTGCTAAACAATGACAACTGCAACAGGAAAACAGCCAGGCACTGTGGTGGGTGCCTGGAGTCCCAGCTACCTGGGAGGCTGAGCAAGCAAAACGCTTAAGCCCAAGAGTTTGCGGTTGCTGTGAGCTGTGAAACCATAGCATTCTACCAAGGGCGACATAGTGACATTCTGTCTCAAAAACAAAAAAACAAAAAAAACCATTGCGCCCAAGGATCATCCGTTTTTCCTTATTCATTTAGGGCCACTCCAACAAACTTACCTAATGTCCACGCAAAGTAATACTTGGGTTTTGAGGCTTGCATGACAACATATAAGTAGCAGAGTCGAGTCAGGAAGTTTGCTTTGTAGAGAAACCAGTCATTAAGAAGGCAGGTGACAGGGAAGGCCTTTGTGAGTGTCAGAAACAAAAAAAGAGACACCAAGGCGATGCATAACTTGTATATCACAGCTCCCTGAAAATGAGGGGGAAGAAAATCAGTGTAATCATTTTCAGAAGACTCAGGAATGAGGTAAACAATTTTGGCAAGGGCATGTTAAGAACAACACTGCTCCAACCCCAGGAGGAGTGGCAGGAGGCATTCTTCCTCATGACACGAATCTGACCCTGGGGATCAAGTGCTGTATTTAGGTACAGAACATACCTTTCACACTAGTATTTAGAATTATCAGCATATTCTACCAACAGAATGTCAGGGGTCTTATTATCCAAATGATAAAAGAAATGGATAGCATTACAGGGTGGCGATTTTCCATCACAAAGAAAGAATCATTGACCTTCTACTTCTGTAGGCAGCAGAGCCCAGAAAATGGACGTGAGTCCCCAGTGAGGAGGACAGAGGCTCAGGTGGGAAGATTCTGAGCCCAGGACATGGACGGTTAATGGAGAGCTGCAGAAAGCCTTCCAGGATGGTTTAAGTGTAGTCTGCTCCAGAGTTAAGATACGCTGACTTTTTATGGTTAATTTTTTACTTTTTTTTTTATTGTTGGGGATTCATCAGGGTACAAGAAACCAGGTTACACTGATCGCATTTGTTAGGTAAAGTCCCTCTTATAATTGTGTCCTGCCCCCCAAAGATGTGTCACACACTGAGACCCCCACCCTCCTCCCTCCCTCCTTCCCTCTCTCTGCTCCTCCTCTCTCCCTTCCCCCTTCCTCCTTCCCTCTCTCTGCTCCTTTCTCCCACCCGCCTCACTCCTTCCTTCTCTCTGCTCTCCCCTTCCCCCACCCCCACCATGTACTAGGTCATTAACTGTCCTCATATCAAAATTGAGCATAGGATTCTTGCTTCTCCATTCTTGTGATGCTTTACTAAGAATAATGTGTTTAATTCCCCTAGACCAGGGGTTCTCAAACTTTTTAAACAGGGGGCCAGTTCATTGGCCCTCAGACCGTTGAAGGGCCAGACTGCGGGCCCAGGAGGACGAGTAGGCTGCTAAGCAGGACAGGCAGTGGCAGCAAAAACACCAGGCAGGCCAGATAAATGTCCTAGGCGGGCTGCATGTGGCCTGCAGGCCGTAGTTTGAGAACGCCTGCTCTAGACGGAGTAATTTTGCCCAGTTTCTCTGACATTCCAGAGAATGTCCTCAACATTCAGCAGAATTGTAGTTTCCAGCTTCATAAAAACACTGCTTTTATTGGTAATGTGGGCACAGCAACGGCACCTCCCTCAGAGGGTGGCTCTGATGAATCTTTCAGAATACAGAATATTTACAGCTGATGAATATTTACAAGATACTGAGAACCTTGCCTGGCTCTCAGGTAAGTCCCGGCCACGCTCAGACACAGTTATGACTACACCACTGAGAGGCACCGTGCCGGCCCCTTTCATTAGCGTATCTTCACCCAAACTGTAATCTCACCCCTTCACCTTCTCTGTGCACAAAAATGCAAGAGTCGCCTTGGAGAACGATGTTAAGACTCTCAGACAAAAATATTTTCTGAATAAAAGCACATGAAAGACGAAAGCATCACAGTGACAGAGACTTCCCAGAAACACCTGGCTAGTTTGCTGTTTCACCAGCATGGTGACCTCATTCTCAGCTTATTCAACAGAACAGAAGTTGAGACACTTCACCAACCATAAAATGCAAAAATTTACTAATTAAGCGTAAGTTCATGCTTAATGAATAAATCACATTTCCAAACACTTAACTCACATTTTGTGTCTAGACTTGAATTAGCACTTACAAAATATTTCACTCAATTTATCCTCATTTCTTCCCTTTTCCAATTTTCACCATTCCTTCAACGAATTACACAATTTCCCTGAAATACAGGATATTGGATCTGACCCAATTTAGCATATAGGTGAAGTTCAGTAAGTTATCCTAGTACTGACTCATTTGAGATTGATAAAATTCATGTTAACAATTAAAACATTATTTCACAAAGCCATCTTAAACACTCTCAAGGTCAGTTTAAAACCAAGCTATAGGCACGCCAGCGTAAAACTGGTTTCTCTTATAATAAGTGCAATCTACAAAAAAAAACAACAAAAAATTAATTCTGGTTCTTCCTGCCTTCTCCTGCCACCTTTTATGACATGCTACATCTTGGCTGTATTTGAATTTCAATTCATAAACACAAAATGCCCAGAGTGTTCACACATGTTAACTCACACAGCACCGGGCACACTGCAGCTGGCTAACAAAGTGCTTTCATAGTCTCAGCCAATGAGCTTCTCTGTGAAGTTAACACCCATTGCTCCAACACAGAGAACTGCTGCAAATAAATATTGATACCAGTATTTTTTTTTTTTGAGGGAAAAAAGTTACTGGCCAAGATTTCTGGTAAACTGTTTGGCTTTTTAATTATAGCAGTTACTAGTGAGAGTTAGTCCTGGCAGCAAAACTCTATTCTCTGCACCTCTGGGTGAACATGCGGCACTCAAAACTTACAGTGGGAGAAGGCTCTGGAAAGCTGTGGAGACCTTTTTGCTTCCAGTACACTTCCAGCAACTTCATGTGTGTATGTCTTCCCTCGATGAAGGCTACGTAATCCTTGAAATTGTTGCACGGGCCAGCGATGACACTCATGAAATTGAGAAGGTAGCTTAAATATTGCAAAAAAGAGGGTTTTGCCCTGTAAAAAATAGAAGTTACAAAGTTGAAAAGTCTTCAGTCTTTGCTTTTTCTTCAAACTTTGCAAAGAAGCAAATCATAAGCAATAAACACACTGTTATCGCTGTAGGTTTTATAGGCGAGAGGACCTTTCCTCGTTTTCTTGCTATAAAATCTACCTAAGAAATCTTGTGGAAAGGAAAAGTTCCCCAGGCAGGTAGCCCAGTGCTTTGTGGCGCCCTCTGCTGGCTGTTAACACTCAGGGCAGGGTCCAGGAGGGGAAAAGCAACTCTGAGGCTGGGGGAATGTTCTTTTCTCATCACCCTTATCTGTCTGTGGGACAAAATGAAGGTAACAAACAAAAGGCAGGGTGGGAACCTGACCTAATGTTAGCTGACTGAGATGCTTTGCAATGGGAAAACTCCGTCCCAAGTGCCAAAATAAATACCAAACAACTAATGGGTGGAACCAGTTTCCACTTGAAGAGGCCACACAAAAGTACCGCTCTAACAGCCTCTTGTCTCCTTTGGCATCCAGGGCTGGGTCCTAACAACGAACCAGGGTAGTGGTAGAAAAACAAACCTGCAGAGAACAGTTCTAAGTGGTGTTTTCATGGCATTTTGGGGGGGCCTATTCTTCTAGCAGGACAGAATGGTGGGAAAAGCCTTTCTAAGGCACCACTGCTAACCAGGCACTGGAATTATGCCCTACAGCATTTATACCTCCATGATGCTTAAGAATAAACTGATTAGAATCTTTCAGTGGAGCTCTATTGCTTCCAAGTCCCAGTTCTTTAATGAGGGAATGAAGAACTCGATCTGCTCTACCACCTAATTCCTCACTTATCCCTGACACTGTCCAGCAGGGGTTAGGGCTAGGAAGTGAGCCCCACAGGGCTGTTACCCCACATCTGCTTTCAGATCAATCCCAGGTCAATGTGATTCTCCTCCTACTTCAAAGAGCCTCCCCCTCCTCTGTCGTCCCTCTCCTGCACATCAACACTGGCAAACCCTATCTACAGCCTTCCTCCTGTATTCATCTCTCTCTATACCCATCTCTCCTCTCCTATTTCTTATCTTTCATCACGCTGGCATTTAATCACACTGATGTGCACCAATAATTAACTGGTTAAGGATTCCCAGATATACACCTGGCAACAATAATTCTACAGTAGACATGACCACCCCAGTCAGTGAAGGAGAACCTTGAAGAACTAACAAAATTACAGATCATTTACTCTTTGACCTCGTAATCTCTCTTCTGGGAATCTATCTATCCTAGCCCCAAACCCCTTTTAAAATGACCTCATGCAAGGTTATTTATTACTTACCCGTCTGAAAAGCCAAAGACTGGGAAACAACGCACATGTCCATCAACTGTAGATTCATTAAGTGAATGATATCGTATCCATATCATGGAATTAATATGTAAATATAAAAAATGAGAAAATTCTCTAGATACTGATATGCAAAGGGCTCGAGAATTTACTGCTCAACTTAACTTACTTTATGGCAAGCCTGTGCTGTTCCACAGAGAGGTCTTCAGCTCTTCGACCTAATCCTAAGAAGAAAATTTAGAAATAAGATGAAGTGAAGCAGATAACTAATGCTAACAGAGTCTTACCAAAGTCATTTGAAAGGGTAATTTATTTTTGCTTCGTAAGTCAGAAAGAGCCTCCATTTTCCTTTTTTTTTTTTTTTAAATACCCTGGTTCTAAAAAGTACCCAGAAGTACCTGTGGGAGAAAGAACATCTTTACCGGCTGATATAGAGAAGGGAAGATTCAGAGGCCACTCCTATTTAATTCACACTACATGACACAGACCTCAGAGAACCCTCCCTGTTACATGGTAGTTCCTTACCATGTACAGGTGTGCAATTTAAATTGCACACGAACTTTATGGTCACCCTGTGTATGTCTTCATTGCTACATTAGAGAAATAAACCTGCCTTTCATAGACTGCCCCAGTTTAAATACTCCCTGATTATTCTGTGTGCAGACACCTGAGATAATGGGTATGGGATGGAATGGGGAAAGAAAAAAAGGGCAATTTCCTCTCCCAAGAGACAGAAGAAATGTAACCCTGAGTCCAGGGAAAACATTAGAAGGTACCAGATTTATCTTCTTTTCAACACTTATCCATAGCAGAAAAACTCCCAACCAAATCCTATGAAATTTACATGCTAGCTAGAGTCAAAGAAACTGAAGTGTTATTGCAAAAGCAGTTCGGCAACTCTAAAACTGTATGTTCAGCTAACGCTGACGATGGCCACCAACCTTGATGGCCAAAAACAGGCCTAGGAGAAGGCAGAGTATTTATGGAATTTACTTGTTCCTCCCACACACAAGAAAAAAAGAAAAAGGCAGTATTTGCCTACAAGTAAGGAATCTTCCAGAAAATATGGTAAACTGAGAACACTTTAAAAAGTAAATTTAGGCCAAAAGTCTGGTTAACAAAAAAAAAGTGTTAAAAAATATATATTCTTTTTTTTTTCTAAGATCTTATCAAGGAGTACATCTCTGGCAATCCTAGAAATTAAACTGATTTTAGCTATTGGTTGATGTTGCTTGTGTTAGTCTATAACCATGGAAACTGGAGTTTCATACAGTGTGATCAACCCACTGTGATTTACTCAGGACCCCTTCCCCCTGTTCTGATACTGAAAACTATATCCTGTGAAACTTCTCAGTACTGGGCAAACTTGGATAGCTGGTTATCCTAAGAAAAGCTTTATCCTTAGTATAAGATTACCCAGTTATCTACAGATTGACTAATTCCAGTGTGAACTAGGAATATACTAGGGTGAATGAAGTTAAATCAGTTCCCAAGCTTTAAGGAAAAAAACAAGAAACTAGCTGTCAGAGATAAATCTTCTCAACCTGCCAACACATAAAGAAATTTCAACAAAAAGTGCTCGCCGGAGCAGTACAAATCCGCAGAATAGGCTTTTACTAATTGCACCTGGCATCTCTAAAGCTACATTGAAATCTTCTGCCCAGCTGAAATAATCTTCCTCCCTTTCCTGGAACCCAATTTGAACAGTGTAAATCACACTTTCTGGCCATTTTTAGGAAGAGCCTGAGTAAAAAAAAAAAAATGTTCAGTTTTATATGAACAGAAGATTCTTCCTTACCCCCAGCTTTTTAGAAGGCTAAGCTAATCTCATTAGATAATTTTCCAAGCCAAAAAACAAACAAACAAACAAACAAAAAAAAACCCCTAGCATTAAAAAATGATTAGCCAGCCAATGCTGTTGAATCTTTTATTGCCTCATGAGTTTCTCAGAGATTAAACCAAAGCAAAAAAGGAAAAAAAGTCATTTCTTTTTAACAGATTTGAAAACAAAGGGCAGAGGGTATCGCAAATTAAATTTAAAACATTGTAAGGATAAACAGAAAACCCTCTGTTCTCAATGCAAATATTTCAGTACGTTGAGACCTCAGATCCATCAGGCACATGGTGATTAATAGCTGGGAAAGTAAAGGCTATGGCTGAAGAGGCCTGGAAATTTTGAATAAGATAAAGCAAGACCTGCCAGCACTCATTGTAAACTCTGAACTGTGTATAAAGTATAAAAAGAAGGGCTCTGAGTATCAGGCTCATTTTGAGAATCACAAGGAGGGTCATTTTTCTCACCATCATGAACTTGGAAAGCCAAAGTTGTGATCTTCTGAGTGACAATCATCAGGGGCCTAGAAGGAAGACGGCAAATGATCAAGACTGGCAACGATGCCACAGGAAGAAACCTGCTTCTCTAGATGGTGGGTTTTCATCTTGAAGTGTATTACACAAAATACAAAAACATTAATTCAAAATAAACAATTTTTACTCCTCTTCCAAATCACCTTAAATAAGTGGATATAACAACATTGAATAATGCGCTCACACTAGATAGTCTGTCGTGTTTTTGTCACTCAAATTGTGGCCCCAGGACCAACACCACCCAGCATCGCCAGGACCTTGTTAGAAACGCAGCATCGTAAATGCCAATCTAGACCGAGAAGATGATAATTCCATTTTAACAAGATGGCAGGGGAATTCAAACACCCATCAAAGTGTGAGAAGCAATGGCTCGGTAGATACTGAGATATTTAATCCAGCGCCTTGGCTCCTCTTGTATAAATATGTATATGGGCTTCTTCATCCAAATACGCTCTAATATGCTTTTTCTATTAAAGGCAATTTTCCCAGGCACACATAGTAAAAGATACATTTGTGGAATGTAACTGCTTATAAATAAATCATTTGTTAACCAAAAATAACCTTAATTTGGAAAAAGCCATTAAGCAAAAACTTGCCTGAGAAGTGAGTGGTACCTGGGTCAGTAAGGGTGCAAGTCAATGAGAGCAAGAAATTACTTTTTAACAAATGGTAAGGAGACAATGAGACATCTACATTTCAGCAGATTTAGACCTCAGATTTAGAGCACAAAAACGAATTCAAAATGGACAAAAGACCTTAACATGACAGCTAAAACTATAAAACTCTTAAAAGAAAATATAGGTGTACATCTTTGTGATCTTAGATTAGGCGCTGGTTTCTCATGTGTAACAGCAAAAGCACAAGCGACAAAAGAGTAGATTAAATGAATGTCATTAAAATTTAAACTTTAACGCCTCAAACGATATACACCACCCACAAAATAAAAACCTTCACAGAATGCAAGAAAATATTTGCAAATCATATAGCTGATAAGGGACTTGAAATGAAATATATAAAGAACTCTCACAACTCAAAAATAGACAAATAACCCAAGTTAAAAACGGCCAAAGAATGTGAATGGATTATTTCTGGTAAAAAGACAGGCAAAGCCAGGTGTGGTGGCTCATACTTATAATCCAAGAACTTTAAGAGGCAGGACTGCTTGAGCCTAAGAGTTTGAGGCCAGCCTGGCCAATGGAGGCTCGATTTAAAACTTAAAATTCACTCTCTGGTGACCGTGGTATTTGCAAACCAAGCAAATTCCTGCATTTGATTTAATTTATAACTTCACGTTAGGGCCTAAAAATAGACATATGAATAAAGAGAAAAAGTGTATCGCAGAATTAGCCTAACTTTCAGTAAAAACAGAACATTTGTTCTCCTCTCTCTAAAGTCACCTTTAATATATTCCAACACTGGGCACACGTTCAGCAAAACATTTAGTAAGTCTAATAATCACAGGCGCCGCCGCCATGAGGGCTCACCTCTCAGATGTGCTGCAGGTGCAACAGACCCGCCTGGCTGCCGTGCAGATTCCACCCGTGTTCACGTTGAGGCCACGCCCCCCTCAGGCTGCTCCCAGCCAATCACTGGGTGCAGCAGGGAGACTTTGGCAAGACCCTCCCTACCAACTGTGATTCTTCCCTGCCAGGGGAATTTTAACAGGAGGACTCTGCTGAATGTGCCAAAACTGTCTTAGAATTGCAATGCTCTCTAACACCTCTTTCCCTTCTTGCCCTCCTCTCGCCTTCTCAGGGATTAGACCTGCATTTCAATCTGCAGCCTCTCTCAGCCTCATCCATTTCCCTCCCCATTTTCCCAGGCAGGCATTTCACCAAACAAATCTCTTACAAATCTGTTTCCATCTTGGCATTGCTTAGTCTTAGAAGATCCAGACTAATGTCATAGATAATACTGAATAGCTTCAGTAATGTTAATAAATACTCATTATTGAAGATAGAATGTGTAACATCGGGTCTACATAAAAGCTACATTGTTGTCATTCCTTAGAAAAGATATCTTTTTCTTTTACGATGGAGAAAAAAAAGCTATAGATTGAATATTGTTCCACAGCATTCTAGACTATACTTTCAACAATATGTTGCTTGTTTTAAATATCTAGTTTCTAGCAATTAAAAAAAAAAACTCACACATTATTGTTAGTTTATTTGAAAAATGAACTAGTACCTTGTAGGGAAAAAAAAAAACAGACTGAAAGCTACAAACTAGAACTAGACCTGTTCATTAGAAGGAAAAGGAGTTAGACTCTTCCTACATACTTCCTTTTCTGTGAGTGTAAGGAAAAGCACCGTACTGCCTTGCTTAGACCAAGTCCTCTCCACACACTGTTCAATTTGATGAATCTGTTTTAACTTGTAGATCAGATGCAAACATTTAGATTGCATAAGCTACTGAGACTTGAGAATCAACTCCTTAGAGTGAGTGGCTTAAGATAAAATTTAAATACCAACCATGCCATATTTCATTCAAACATAGAACAATCACTCGTTGGTTTAGGATTGGAATTTATGTTGCTTTTTTTTTTCTTTTCTTTTTTTTTTTTTTTTTTGGCAGAAAATGCAAAATTCAGCATACAGGAACACATACCACAAGCACAGGAAGGACAGAAGCAGGAGGAGCCCCATAAATGGCTCCTAGATGCACCAAACAATTTCCTTAGGAGAATGAGACCTCCAAACTTAAGCTGTACTCAGATTTTCCACACACACCCACCCTCCAACCTTTGGATTTGTACACACGCTTCCATCATAGCCCTGTACTTGGAAACCATCTGACCAATCTGGAATTGAAGTTTGAGTCCAGCAGGGGTTGAGGTGGGGCCATTTCCCTTTTGCTCTATAAACTTTTTTATCATGATTTTCAAAAAGCCAGAGAAAAATCTATTTTTCTTCTTGAACCCAAGATGATTAGCCTAATTTAGATAATAAAATATAATGAGAAAAATTAAGTAAGGGAAAACAGGTAGGAAGATGTGTTTGGAATAAAAAGAAAGAAAAATGCCAACGGCCCTCCCACCCCACCCCTGCACACATGAAAGCAGTGCCTTCTGATACAGACTCTGGGCCACTCACCAGGAGGGGTGCCCATTCATCCACTTCCATTTCCTATACCATTTCACAACCAGAAATGACATGTCTTTAAAACATTAAGCAAAATTTCAGTTTTGAGCAACATTTCAATACAACCTACCTAGTTTACCTTGATCTTTGGACCTAAAGTGGTTAAGTTCGGATGTTTCAGCCAAGAGAGGAAGGAACAAGGAGATAACAGTCATCCGTTATAGGTGTCGTGTCAAGAGAGCCAGTATCTGGCTGGCCAGCATCCAGCTTGAGCTGATATTCAAGCACCTTATTCTTCCCAACAGGTAACTTTAGGACCAAAAAGGTTACACTTCATACTTTTCTTACTTTCTTTATATTAAAAAATCCGCTTGTGCTCCTTGGATACCATGAAAACAGGAAGTCAGGCAAGCAAGAAGTCTGGCATGGGAAGAGACACCCAACACACAGACAACAAGCTTCCTATCAACAGCAGCCTACGGCAGTACTGTCATCTTTCATAACTCCAGTGGGCACCAAGATGCAATGTGACTGGCCTGTACCAATGGTAGCTTAGACCCAGTAGTTTTGCCCCTGCTCCCCCCTGCTCCTTGAATAACTGCAGAGAAGGAGGACAACATTATGGCTTTGGCATAATGATCCCAAGTTCCTACAATTATGCCAGCATGGAGACAAACGTTCAGGGACTCCAGAAGTCACAGAAAAGAAAGTACATAGCTCTACCAGCCTCCTGAGGCTACATCTAAAGGCCAAGCACTCCCCTGGACCTGTTTCAGAGTTCACTGGTAACTTCAGAATCATCCAGTGCTGAATCATTTCCATTTCCATCTTTTCAAAGATTTACCTTCTATACTCTGGCACTCAACAATAAAATCATCAATACTCCATTTTAAAAGAACCTACCAAATAGACTTCTTATAACTTACGCTTAAGATGGCAGAATTACACTCCAGCAGCCTGAAGGAGAAACATGAAATAAACAAATCTTGAAATCTCTTTGCTAATATCTTCACTTTTTCCATATTTTAGAACGCAATTATTTGAAGATACTGGGCTGGTCAGATCAGGTGACCAGGATGTCATAAAGCAAAGAGCAAAACAGTGTTCATGGAACCACACGGCAAATGATCTCCACCACCAGCCAGGGCTGCAGGCAAGTCACATTCCTACTACGCTCCCACAGGATAAGAGAACACCAACAGCTGCTGTTACATTCCTGTCAGCTGCCATTCATTATGACCTTTTAATATGCATGCAAATATGTTTAAATAGAATTCTATGATTTTTCCTTATTATCACAGTAACATAAGAGTAAAATGAATATTAAAATCACCAGTAAAGACCTCGCCCTAGACAGAACCACTCTCTCAGCATTTTCATATTTCTTTCCATTCTCTTCCTATGTATGTCCACATTCAGAAAAAGAAAAAACATGGAATCCTACCACATGTATTTTTCTGGTGGTTTGTGTAGTCTTTGAAAACATCATTTTCACTAGCATACTAGCACCATAATTTAATCACCTACTTTTAAGTGACTATTTAGGAAGCTTCTAGTTTTTCACAATTCTTGACAGTAGTTAAACATGCTTATGAAACAATTTGATTTCCTTATAGTAACTCAACTCCTGGAATTTATCCTATCATGAGATGTCAACTTTTTAAATATTCTTGCTGGAAATTTGTAATGAAATTGCCTTCCAGAAGGGTTATACCAATTTATATTCCTACTAGCAATGTATAAGAGTCTCATTGCATCATGCTTTATGAAACAACACATGGGCGACTCAGACTGCCAGCACGATGGGAGAGCAATTATCTGCCTAAATCTGGCCTAGCTCAGAAAAAGGAAACAAGAGTTTTTGCTGCTGCCCTCTGAAGAAGACTCAATTTGCACCCTTCTGTGAGTAAAAAGGAAGAATTGGTTCACTATCACAAACATAAAAGAAATCAAGTATCAGCTAGATTATAAGCAATTGTTGAAAGTCCTCCCAGAAAAACAATAAATATTCTCCCATATCCAGAGAAAACATAAAGGACATTCACCACTAAATGTATGGATAAAAACTGTATTAACGGCACTAATAAAAATGTACCTTATGTGTTACACTCACCATTAATGTCAAGTCCAACCCATGAAAACGTGACGACTCTGAGAATTACAAATAAAATTTCAAGTCCCAGAATAACCTAACGTACAAGTTGATGTGTTCTCCAAAATTAAATATATATGTATATATGTTGACACAAACACTAACCTCATCCAATCCCATTCGATTCTTGTCTGTGCCCTTATTCTGAAGGGGTAATAACGTGTGCTGAACCCTTAGGTTTGGACACTCCAAAGAGAGTGGCTACATCTCAGGCTTAACTTCACCAGGTTTAAATTCAAAACACTACTTTATCTCCTGACAAAATCCTAAACAAGATATTTCAACTGCAATCAATAGTAGGGGTAAATCAATTCCATTCTGAAGGAGAAATATGTGGCTGCTTGCATGCTCTGTCTGAGAACACACATTGGTAAAGAACCTCTCCCAATGACAACTTGTTATTTAAAACACCTTGTCAATTTCAGGTTGCCGCGTCTCTTCCATTTATGTTGAGTGACATCATCCAAGAAGGTGGATTTATGTCAGTGAGGCGTTGCACGTTTGCGGAGGCAGGGAGAAATAATATTGCTTGATGATGATCTATTAAAAAAGAAGAGATGACATGCCCTCCAAGAACTACATAGTAATTAGAGAACTAGATCACGTGCTGCATTCAGGCAGCAGACTTTTCACTTTATAATCTTTAACAGCAGAGTCCTTTCTAGTGCAAATGGTCTGCACTTTTGTGTGTAACGTCAGAGATTTCCTAATACGAGCAAATCCAAAGACAGCCAGAGAATAAATACCACTGGAGGAATTTTATCAAGACAATATGCTACTAAAAGTGAAGCCAACAGGGACTGATTTTCTTCCCCGTTGTTGAATCTGAAGTCCACCACATTTCACACGCACATGACTATTTTCCACAAATGCCCTTTATTTTTTTCCTTCTGGCAACTTGCCACAATTCTGATTACATGAAAAGAAATGATGTAGAAATTATTCAAGAGTTTGTGGTTTTAATAACAAGAGATGTGACAAGAGCAGCCAGGGATGTGGACTGTAGAGGAATCTCGATGCTGCACAATCAGGGACAGGGGACAATTGTTAATTTGGAAAGTATAGAGTCATAAAACCATGTGTATGAGTTTCCTAGAGCTGCTATAACGAACTGCCACAGCTGGGTGGCTTACAACCACAGAAATTTTTTCATCATGTAGTTTTTGAAGCTAGAAGTCCAAAATCAAGATGCTAGCAGGGTTGCTTCCTCCGGGAGGCTCTGAGGGAGAATCTGTTCCATGCTTCTCTTGGTGGGGACAGCAATCCTTGAAAGACCAGGCATTACCCTTCTAGCTGTGGGAGGCAAGGGAACATGGATGGAGGGGCCAGGACAGCCAGAGGTCAGGGTAGCAGCTACTTAGCAGCTGGCATGGAAGAACATCTGTGGTATTAACTAGTAAGAGCCATCAAACAGAGGTTGGCAAACCTTTTCTGTAAAGGGCCAAACTAAGTTTTCCATGCTCTGCAGCCCACATGGTTGTCACACCGCTCAACGCTATCAGTGTGGTACAAAAGCTGACAGAGACAATACACGAATAAGCAAGGGCGAGATTGTTCCAATACCGCTGTACAAAAATGGCAGCAGAACAGATACTGCCCACAGGCAGTTTGTGGCCTGCCTTTCAGTCCTACAGAACCATCAAATCTCCAGCCACTAGCTCATTCATTAGCACGTCTTAACCAACTGACTTGACCAGCCACCAGTGAATCTCACATGCACACTTGATGTTTACTGAACCCACGAGACCGAGTCAGAGTCAGCAGTCAATCCCCCCCACCCCACATCAAGATACTCACCCAGAAAAATCTGTAGTGAGAATCCCATAATGAAAGATGTATATTCGGCTGATGTGACATAATGTCAGGTATCCCATTGCCACAAAAAAGGAGTACCTGAAACCAAAATCACAGTCAGATTATTGCACGTGACAATAATGCCCCCAGGAAATGTTCTCTGCTCCCTCTCCCTCCACACACAGTTGCTCACAAAGTCCTATTTGGTCCTTTCCACCCGCTGCTCTGCCCCCGCCCGTCATCTCTCCTCACCTGGACCACTGCTGTGGGTCTCAGCTTTGATCACATAATGAGATCACCTGTAGAGCTCTACAAACTACAGATGCCTGGCGCCCACCCCCGGCTATTCTGGTTTAACAGATACTTGCTGCACCGGGCAGCTGTAATTCCAATGTGCAGCCATGGCTGGGAACCACGGGTAAGGTCCCACACCCAAGATTCTCCTCTTCATAAACGACCGTGTTTACATCAGGATCTTCATAAGACATAAATCATCACCATACTGCTGGCCATTCTCTTCTTTAAACACCTGATTCTCTTGGCTTCCACTCTCCTCGTTGTCTTCCCTTCTCTCTGGTTAACTCTCCCAGGGCTCCTTGCTCCTCTACCTTTCTCCACCCACTCCCCAGGTGTCAGCATTCCCAAGCTGTGCTCAGGATCACACACAAACACAGACATGTGTGTCCATTCGTAAGGACAAATGTTATTCATAACACTCAATTTGCAGTAGAACCTCCATATTTGATCACCTCCCTACATTGACTACCTCCTTAAGATGACCTAATTTTCACAGACCGGACATGCACCACATGTACGTATCAGTACATTAGCCCTTCTGTTGGCCAGTTTGCTACAGTCCCTTGGGTGGTCAACTTATAGATGGCCAACTTATATGATAAGCTGTGCAATGGATTGAATGTTTCCATCTCTCTAAAATTCACAGGTTGAAATCCTAACCCCCAATTTGACAGTATTAGGAGATGGGGCCTTTGGGAAGTAATTACATCATGAAGATGAAGGCCTCACAAGTGGAATTAGTGCCCTTACAAAAGAGACCCCCGAGAGCTCATTCATGCTCTTCTGCCAGGTGAGGACACAAAAAGACAGCAGTCTCTGACACAGAAGAAGGTCGTCGACAAGACACGCCAGCACCTAAGCTCAGATTTCCAGCCCCCAGAACCGAGAAATAAATTTCTGTTGTTTATAAGCCACAGTCTATTGTACTTTGTTATAGCTGAGACAATCTAATTACAGTCTCCCTTACGAAACTGTTAGCTCCATGAGGGCAAAGATAGGCACGTGTGTTCTGTTCACCATATTCACCTACAGTGTCAAATGAACAGACAACTCCACGACTGCTACTCTTCTCAGACGTTTCCAAGGGATCCTGCTATCTAGCCACACTGCCCTGAACACAGCACGCAAGGCACTCCACATGCTGAGCTCTACCTCACCTTTCTGACTCACGTGCAGCCACACTTCACATCTACCTTGTGTCAAATCATACAGCACTGCTCACATTCCACAATTAAATCCTATATTTCCAGGCTAGATACCTTTCTCTGCCTGCCAACTTCTTTCTCCATCCAACAGTCCACCTAGAAACTGCCTAATTTCCAGATAAGGCTTAGCCTCAATGCCATTTCTTTTTTTTTTTTTTTTGAGACAGAGCCTCAAGCTGTCCCCCTGGGTAGAGTGCCGTGACATTACAGCTCACAGCAACCTCCAACTCCTGGGCTCAAGCGAGTCTCCTGCCTCCGCCTCCCAAGTAGCTGGGACCACAGGCGCCCGCCACAACGCCCGGCTATATTTTGGTTGCAGCCGTCATTGTTGTTTGGCGGGTCCGGGCTGGGGATTCGAACCCGCCACCTTAGGTGTACATGGCTGGCGCCTTAGCCAGTTGAGCCACAGGCGCCGAGCCAATGCCATTTCTTAAAAGTGTCCCTTGGTCTAGTCTGGCCCTGTCCACACCACCCCATCTCCTGTCCCTCCCACGACAGCCCCCACACAATTCCTTACTCCACTGTCTGTATCTCTAATACAACATGCTAGTATGTGCCTAATCATAACATTGAAATTAGTTACGTATATGTGTCTTCCCAACTCATGGTGACCTTGAGCGTCCCACCCTTAACTTGATACATAAGTAGTTAGTGTTGGCTGAAATGAACTGAAAGGAACACATTATACATTTTAAATGGTTCAGGAGCCCATTAGATACGGACATTAACTCAGAAGACATACTTTTTAAACATGAGCCATAAAACAGGAAAGATGTATATTCTGATATTAAATTATATCAAAGTCAAATATTAACATTAAAATAACTCATGAAAACTAGATCAACCTAAGGAATAATAAGGTAGGGATAATAAAAATTCATCTGGTAGCAAGGCACATCTAGGTAACAGGAATAGAGTTCTATGAACTTTAAAACAGAATATAACATTAAGGCCAGGCATGGTGGCTCACACCTGTAATGCTAGCACATTGGGAGGCCAAGGCAAAAGAATAGCTTGCGACCAGGAGTTCGAGGCCAACCTGGGCAATACCAAGAACCTGTCACTAAATTAAAAAAAAGAAAAAAAATATATATATAGTATGCACATATATATACACACACATAGTAGAGATGACCACCCCAAGGGACTGTAACAAACTGGATGACATATAGAGGTGGCCAACACAAGGAACCAGGCCTACTGTACTGGTATGTACATGTGGTGTATGTCTGTTCTATGAAAATTAGGTCAACTTAAAGAGGCGGTCAATGTAGGGATGTGGTCCACTATGTAGGTTCTACTGTATATACAAAATATTTTGAGTCTCTTTACCATTATTTGCAAATAAAGATGTTACTCTTTAAAAAGATTTTTACCTACCTTGGATTCAGATGGTCAATAAGGCAAATGACCAGGAAAAAACAAACAGCTCCCTTAAGAATTGGAGTAAGGGCCAGGTGCAGTGGCTCATGTCTGCAATCCTTGCATACTGGGAGGCTAAGATAAGTGGAATGCTTGAGCTCAGGAGTTCAAGACCAGCCTGAGCAAGAGCAAGACCCCCATCTCTACTAAAAATAGAAAAATTAGCTGGGCACTGTGGCAGGCACCTGTAGCCCGAGCTATTTGGGAGGTTGAGGCAGGAATATCACCTACACCCAGGAGTTTGAAGTTGCTGTGAGCTAAGCTGACACCATGGCACTCTAGCCTGAGCAATAGAGTAAGACTCTGTCACAAAAAAAAAAAAAAAAGAGTTGGAGTGGAGACCAGGCAGGCCTCCTTCCCTCCAGCAACTGTTCCCTCTCTCCAGTTTATGAAGCTCAAGGCAGGAACACAAAACAGATTTGAAAGGCAGATTCTCCCAGTACCATTCTGAATGCAGCCACGCCTGCTGCTACCCCTCTGTGCTCAACAGGAATCAGACCAGTACCTTCCCTGGCCCAGAGGGTAACGCAGGCTCAGCTCATTGTTGTAACAAGACTCCACCTGTTAAGGATGGTGCCAAGTTCCAATACAACAGGAATGTCCTGGCCAAACCTAAAACATCTAAGGAATCCAGAAGCAGCAGAGAGAATGTGTATTCCAGAGACAGACAACTTGAGTTCAAATCTCAGCACTAGCAAAATAATCCGTGGAGGGAGAAGCTGACACAGTGGTCATTCTAGGAAGGCAGGCTATGATAGAGATCCGGACATGAGTAATGGTAATACTCTCCTTGCTGACCTGTCACCGGGTGTGTCCATTCTGTGAAAATTCATCAAACTGTTCGCTTATTTATCTCTGAGCTTTCATCTCAACTCAGAAAAAAAAATCTATATCTCTCAGCGTCATCTTAGACAGAACATATTTGAAATAATGAAATGAAATATTAAATAAAATATTAAATGAGTCATTCAATAACAGTTTACCTACTTTAGTGGATTAAGAGGAGCTGGGCTTATGACCCGGGACAAAGCAGGGAGTCTAGAATTGCTGACTGCATCACCACATGCTCACACAAGGGCGTCCAGCAGATACAGACTAGGTTCTGCTCCAGTGGGATAATCGATGCCTGTGACCTCTGCCCAACATAGTGGCTGGGGAAGGAAACAGAGATGATACCCCCTAGAACTCTCTAAACAAATCCTGAACACAATCATTCCAGAAATAGGTTAATATTACATGAAGCAAATACTAACCCTGCCCTCCTTTTCCCAGCCATATAACAGAACTTGTTACTGGCTCAGGAAGTCATGGTACTGATCAGAACTCGCATTCAGACTACTACGCAGCCCACACTTCGTAGGTGGGAAATGTCATGAACACAGAAACCACATCCGAACTCACACTGCTGGAAGGACCCAGATTTCCTGACTCCACTCGAGGGCTCTTTCCCTCAATCAAGAGGAAACAACTTAGTTTTTTTTTTTTTTTCCTTTTTAACATTTTACATTTACATCCATCCATCAGGCACTGTGAACATTCCCTATTTCTGCAACACTGGCAACCACATGAGCAAAGACAGAGGGGAAGAACTTGTTCTGGCATCTTTCTTTTTGGTCTTATGACAGCCTTCCACTGCCACAATGTTACTATGGTGAAACAGTCCCGGCCTGCCTGGGAGCCACCCTGCCAAGGCCAGAGCATTCCCGTCCTACACACTGGAATGGAGCCCTGCAAACCTGAGCACAGCAAACCCGGGCTGAAACAGACCCCGTGTGCATGTAAGTTGCTGACCCCCTGAAAAACGGACCACCGCCCACCGGCATCTCACAAGCGTGTGGAGGGGTGACAAGTTATATTTGTAAGGTACTTGGAAATGTGCTCTACAGACACACCAATATGATGACTCGTCATTTACTTAATTGCTTCCAAAACCAAGTTTAAGAAAAGTCAAGCATTTTCGCTCCCTACTTTAAAAAAAATTGCTTTTAGAAGCATTTAGTCATCACATAAAGCTTGTCCAAAACCCATTCTTTCCAAATTATAAAAATGGATTTCCTATTTCCTTTCTGGAAGGAATGACACCATCCCCTTCAAGGAAGATACTGAGAGGAGGTTAAGATTAGAATTCAAATTTTCAGAGCTCATTTGGCTACCACGTTAACTATAAAATGTAAAAGCATGCAAAAATATTTGCTCTTGAAAACCATAAACTCATCATGTTACTACAAGATTATACAGTGAAAAGTTAAAGTTCAGTGCTTTTAAGAAGGCAAATTACTGCGTCTTAATCAGAGCACCTTCTGAAGCTGAAAGAAGGCTCTGCTTTTCAGAGAAGCTGTGTGAAAAGAAGCTATAAAAGAAGGGAGATCTCTGAAAAGTTAATTCAGTCATTCATTCCATAAATATTTGTTGAGCCCTTCCTTGTGCCAGGTATTGTTCCAGGCACTGAGGACACAACAGTGAGCAAGAGAGAGAAGTCTTTGTTTTCACAGCATGGACATTCCAGTGCTCCCGAAAGGCAGAGTTAATACTGAGTCTGCAGAAAGACTGCGGGGAACAGAGACAATGCAAAACAGATACGCCAAGTCTCTCCACTGATTAGCCAAGCGCGGAGCCTTCAAGGTAGAATTAAATTACTTCTGCACTTCGAAATCCAAACATCACAGTAGAAATCTTTCCTTTTTGCAGTTTTACTGCACATATTTAAAGTATACAATTTGGTAAATTTTGGCACATACACCCAGAAAACCACCACGAATTTCAACGTAGTGAACCCACTGCCCCCCCCACCAAATCTTCCTCACACCTCTTTGGGGTCTCTTCCACATCTCCCTGCACCCTCCCAACCCAGGTAACTTCTGATCTTTTATCACTGCACCCTCCTTGCATTTTCTATTGTGTGGCTTCCTCCATGCAGCATATTTATTTTGAGATTCAGCCTTGCCGGGTATCAGCCTTTCATTCCTTTTTATTGCTGAGTTGTACCGCATTCTGGTGAACATTCGAGTGGTTTCCAGTTTGGGCCTGTCCACGAGTAGTGCTACCTAATCTCTTTCGCCAGACGTCCAATTGGCATTCCCACCTTTTTCATAAACCGTTCTCTGAAGACTCCCAGATTTTATTCCTCCTTCTGATATGCTAGATAAACTAAGATTCAACACTTGCGAAATAATGAGAAAGGCACGTCTTTATTCTGGAAACACATTTCAGAGAGCACAGGGAACCTCACCTTGCATTGTTCATTCTCAGGTCTTACCTGTGAATATTAGACGCACTTGCAGTGACCATGATTGCATAGCACAGTAACACCAGCACGAAGAGATGTATGACGTACCTTTAAGACAAAATGGGGGGGGAGACACTGAATGTATTTCATAGTAACACACCTATTGGCCACCCCTACTATTCCTCCACCTCCACGCTCTGCAAAACTTTATTTAAGTAAATGTGAGTTTACTTAAGAGAAAATAAATCAAGTATTCATATCCTGTGTAATTAAAACATTTTATCATGAAATGACCCCAAGAAGTCACAACACAGTTTGTTGGCTATAGCACTAGTAATGTCAGGAATCCATAAATGGAATGCTTATATATTTTTTTCATATGTTACAATTCAGAGCTGCTCACAGGTGGGTTATTTCTTTGGGACTTTATTTTATAAATTTTAAGGTTCCAGTACCAAAATTGGGTTTCCCCAGATACCAAGACTCGGTAGCTGATTCAAAATACTGATCCTTTCTCAAATTTTTGTTGAAGGATTAGAGGCAATAATCTAATACAGGACCCTCAACAAATTCATAAATTTTCTGAAGATACTTTATTTCTAGAAATGCAGGGCCTCAAAACTTCTTCCCTAAGAAGTGCTACTACTCCCAAGGGTATCTGCCCAGTTTCCCAACAAAGAGAGTCACGGTATACTGGCTTTCTCTGCTAAAGAAAGATTCACGTTCCCTAAGAGCTGCAGTAAAGCCACTGTTCTACTCTAACAAAGTGCAAAACACCAGTATCTCTAGCAGTAAAGCAAGAACTACTCCAACATCTCTACAGTTAAGAAAGGGCACTCACTGGGAAAAATTAAACCTTACAGCATCCCATTTACGTGAGAGAGGTGGGGGCATCTGTAGACGTCTAAAAAAAAAATCTACTGCACTGACTTCCAATGGATGGATAGTCAATTTATTGGTTCCAGGGTTTTGGCAGTAACTGGAGATTCTGCAATGTCCCCGAAATCTTACAATAAAGTTTTAGAGCACCATAACATTTTACAATATATACTTCACACCATGGTATTCTACAACACCATCTCGTTCTTACCTTAACGCAATGCCATGAACACTGCCACGAAACACACAAATGATCAATAGAAGAATTAGTGCAACTCATACTCACCAGCCAAAACAAAAGATGACAAAATAGATGCCAAAAATGGTAGCAAACATGTGCCTGACATCCGGGCTTGTTTTACCAGGACTCAGGTAGAGGCGAAACCAAAAAGCAGCAAACAACGCAAAAAGTTGGCATGCCACGAAATTCACCTGCGGGTGGGGGGAGGAGAGAAAAGAAACCTTTACTGCGGGGCCTGTGCGTGAATTTGTTCTCATCTTTTTATAGGCTTTCACCTCCAAACGCACCTCAGACTTGGATTTGAGTTTTACTCCCAGCAGAGTATCACTTTTCAAGAGGAAACAAATAAGAGAAATGATAACTGTCCCCTCAACATGAAATGAGAAGTGACAAACTCAATAGTTTCTTCTCCAACCCTGTAAGACTGGCCAGGGTTGCTTTCCCACCCCCCACAGGTGGCTTTTCATGTCAAAGGGTCTAAAGTGACAGGAGCTCTCTTTGCTGGGTTTCCTTCACAGCTGCCCAGCACAGCACACCCAAGGACAAAGAATGTGGTTTTTTTAGAGATAACAAAGTTTGGCAACGTAGGAAATCAAATGCTTCTCCAAAGCATTCAATAGCTGCTTTCTGACTCTAATTCTCTCATTTTAAATTAGTAACAGCATTCTTCAAAGTCAAGGTGGGACATAACAAAAGCCACCAAAAGAGGCACAGCCCTGCATTAACCATCCAGTGCCGACTCTGTCTGATTATGCAAGGCAGACACCACGTCTCCTTAGAAAAATCTCAGTGGTCTCTCTCTCTCTCTCTCTCTCTCTCTCTCTCTCTCTCTCTCTCTCGGGAATATTTTGCCTAAAAGAAAACAAAAGAATTCCCTGAAATCTACAGGAGAGATCAGCTGACTTTGTAAAAAAAATAAACATATACCTTTGCAACTTAAATCTGCACAAATCAAATTCCAAATACCTTTAGTGGTTTAACCATTCGTTAAAATTAGAAGGATAATTCTAATGCTTCAAAGTATTCAATGAAAACGTCAGTCTTAATTCACTTTTAGAAGGCACTTAATGGAAAAGAGATTGGAGATATGAATAAACCCTCAATTTCCACCTCAGTAGGTTTTTTATGCAAAAATATAAACTGCAGCTGATAACGAAATTCATTAGGCCTGAGCTAAAAGGTAGGGTTGAAAGGAGCAGATATCAGCTTGAGCTCATTTTCCAGTAAAAAACAATTAGTCTGAATTTGAAAAAATCAAATGGACCCCTTGTAACACATAGAAAATACTACTTTCAGAAAATCTGTGTTTTGGTTTTAAAAACTGACCACATTGAATTTCCTGGGTTTGAAAATTACGCCTCGCCAGCCTTTCCAGAAACCTGTCCTCACTACTCCCCACCTTCACTTCCTTGAAGGACTAAGAAGTGACATGTGAGCCTACCCTGCAGGATTTTGTCTTATCTTTTGATAAAGGATAAATAAACAATCCAACAACTGTGCAAGCACACACATATACATAGAAATATAATCACATTAGCAAGGACTTAGCAGTAGAAATACAATCGCTTCAGCAAGGAATTAGCAACTGGAAAGTCAAAACCCTATGATCAAGGCCACCAGGTCAGGCCTGTAATCCCAGCACTCTGGGAGGCCAAGGCAGGAGGATCGGCTCAGCTCAGGAGATCAAGATCAGCCTGAGCAAGAGGGAGACCCCCGTCTCTACTAAAAATAGAAAAAATTAATGGGGTACTTATAGGAGGGCACCTATAGTCCCAGCTACTCAGGAGGCATGTTCCCTCCCTTCAAGGAGCTTAACATCTAACTGGGGAATGGACACAAATAACTTCCAAGAAATTGCCAAGTAACAGTAACTTTGTATGAACTGACCAAACTTTAGTTAGGCTATTAATAAACCTTCTCCTTGGTGTATTTTCTTGTAAAATCCAGTTCTAGAAAGAACCCCTGACATCCTCCAATATCTGATCACCCTTGATATCTGATCCCATCCTCCACCATGCCCCGAGTGGTGTCTGGTCACCCTGGCCTGTCTTCAGCAAGGATCCCTTTAGGTCAATTTAGCCAAAATACCCCTTACCCTGGTGCTGCTTCTTAGAAATTTTGCATCCACTCACCTCCACTACTTGGCTATCAATTCCCACTTATTCATGCTGTATTCAGAGTTGAGATCAGATCTATTCTGAAGTCTCTTTTTCCCTATTGCAATAGTCCTGAATAAAAGCTGGTTTTTATTGCTCAACTACTGTCCAGCCCTGGTTTTTCTTTTCTTTTCTGATCCAAAATACAACAGTTAATTTTATTTTGATATGCTAGAAATAATCTGAAAAGAAAATTAACAACCCAATTTCACTTACAACAGCATCGAAAGAACAAAATACTTAGGAAAATCTTAACAGAAGAAATACAAGATCTGCACACTGAAAACTACAAAATTGGTGGAAAGAAATTAAAGAACATGTGTATAAAAGGGCGTGAACCCCAGATACTGAGGGTGGCAGGTTCAAACTCAGCCCCAGCCAAACTGCAACAAAAAATAGCCAGGTGTTGTGGCAGGTGCCTGTAGTCCCAGCTACTCAGGAGGCTGAAGCAAGAGAATCACCTAAGCCCAAGAGTTGGAGGTTGCTGTGAGCTGTGATGCCACAGCACTCTACCAAGGGCAACAAAGTGACACTCTGTTTCTAAAAAAAAAGAAAGAAAGAAAGAAATTAAAGAACATGTGTATAAAAGGAAAGACGTCCAGTGTTCATGAATCGGGATATTAACATTGATAAAATGGTACTGCTCCCAAACTAATCTATAGATTAAACTAAATCCCTACCAGCGGTCTGTTTTTTCTTTGAAGAACTTATTGCATTATGTGCTCTAAAGACCTCAAAGATCTGGAAGATGAACTAGGTTAAAACTGATGGAGGTTAAGAACATTAAAAAATACTATGGCCTGGATTCTAGCCCTAACCCTTCTGATTTAATGGGCCTGGCATCAGGGCTTTGAAAAGCTTCCAAGTAATTCCAATATCAAACAAGACTGGGAACACCTAGTTCAGAAATATACAGAGAGGCTCTGTGCCCGTAGCTCAGCGGTTAGGGTGCCAGCCTCACACACTGGGTCTGGCACGTTAGAACCCGGCCCAGGCCTGCTAAAAACGACGACGACAACCACGACAACAACAACAAAAAATAGCCGGGCGTTGTGGCAGGTGCCTGTAGTCCCAGCTAGTTGGGAGGCTGAGGTAAGAGAATCACTTAAGTCCAAGAGTTTAAGGTTGCTGTAAGCTGTGACACCACAGCACTCTACCGAGGCAACATAAACATAGTGACATTTTTCTTTTTCTGTCTCCAAAAAAAACCCATAAATATACAGAGAGAAACCGACGGAGGCATCCAGGAAGAAGTGGGATTCCCCAGAATGAAGAAAACCACAAAGGGCAAGGAGATTGGACTTGCAAGCTTTGGGGCAGGGTGAAAGGGAACAGATTTAAGAGTGATTAAAAGCTGGGCAGCCATGACTCATTGGAGGTAGGCCTCCTCAGCCTCCAGAGGGTCTCCAGAACTGGAATGGTTTTTCCAAAACCACTCGAGACTTATCCCCAAGGAAGACAGTGCCTCACTGTGGGAAAACCACATCTGATCTGTTTACCCAGAAAAAGAGAAAGAGAGGACTCGCTTGGTCCTTGAAGCAGTCTGCCATTTTTCAGTCACCGTAATGCAATGTGTAGTTCCTTTCAGTCACTGTATATCATTTGTAGCTCACTGAATGGGATCTGACTCTAAGATACCAAGAAATCAGCTGGATGGCTGGGCACTCCACTGCTTAATTCCACAAACACTTACTTACTGGTTGACTCTATATGCCAGGTCTTGGGGACAGTGCACAAGACACCATCCCTACCTTCAAGCCAAGAAACTTATCTGTTCTGGGGCTTCAATCCCTTTATTTCCAAAATGTCTGCTTTGGGAGAACTGGATCTGATGGATATTTCAGCTCTAATGATCTCTGGTTCTATATCTAACTAGTGTTTTTTTGTTGTTGTTGTGTTTTGTTTTTTATTTCTTATAGCATAACTATGTACATTAATGCAATCATGGGGTACAGTGTGCTGTTTTCATATACATTCTGAAATACTCTCATCAAACTGGTTAACATAACCTTCATGTCATTCTCTTAGTTATTGAGTTAAGACATTCATACTCTGCTTTTAGAAAGATTCATTTGTACCCTTGTAAGATAAACCATAGAGATGACCTCACCAATCACCCTCCCTCCCCCCATCCATGCCCCTCGCCTCCCCTTTCCCACCCCCTTCTCATATTCTGAGGCTATAATTAGGCTATGACATTCCTATAAAAGCTATGAATTAGTTTCAAAATAGGGCTGTGTACATTGGATACTTTTTCTTCCATTCTTGAGATACTTTGCTGAGAACATTTTCTAATTTCATCCATATAAACATGAAGGAGATAAAATCTCCATCTTTCTTTAGGGCTGCATAGTATTCCATGGTAACTAGTGTTTTTTTAAAAATCCAGGAATCCGGCTCGGCGCCTGTGGCTCAAGCGGCTAAGGCACCAGCCACATACACCTAAGGTGGCAGGTTCGAATCCCCAGCCCGGGCCCGCCAAACAACAACAATGGCTGCAACCAAAAAATGGCCGGCGCTGTGGCAGGCTCCTGTAGTCCCAGCTACTTGGGAGGCTGAGGCAGGAGACTCGCTTGAGCCCAGTAGTTGGAGGTTGCTGTGAGCGTGATGCCATGGCACTCTATCCAGGGGGATAGCTTGAGGCTCCGTCTCAAAAAAAAAAAAAAAAAAAAATCCAGGAATCCATTAGGCTGCCTGGGCTCTAGCACCTTGGGTTCCAAAATAAGAATCTGAAATTCAACTCAGAGCAAATGATCATATCCCAGGAAAACAAAACAAGTTTTACCAATCAGAAGACCAAATTATCTCTACCTAGAGACTTCACCAGTCAGAAACCACCAACTGAGTTCTAACCAGAGACTTCACCAGTCAGAAAGCAACTAAGCTCTAACTAGAGACTTCACCAGTCAGAAACCACCAACTAAGCTCTAATTAGAGACTTCAGCAATCAGAAAACAACTAAGCTCTAACTAGAGATTTCACCAGTCAGAAACCACCAACTAAGCTCTAACTAGAGACTTCACTGATCAGAAAGG